TTGCTGCTTATCACTGTATCTCCCAACTTTGTCGCTACAGCACTGAACTTCTTCTAAGAAAATAAAAATACACCAAATGAAGAAAAAAAATATCTCACTTAGTGCCTTCACAGTCCCCGCTTCCGCCACTGGAGCAGGCACCACAGGTTGAGGAGGAGGAGCCACTTGTGCAGGTGTTGGTAACCTGTCCCCAGTCAACAAATCATAGCCGCCGCCTCCTCCTCCACTACCATCCATGGAACCATGAAACGCTGGTAATGGTGGTGGCGGATGCTGCGGAAACTCATGCCCGACACCACCAGTGGCACCACTCGGATCCATAAGCCCGGCAAATTCCCCGTCTTCGTCAGCCATGGGTCCCGGAATCGGCGTCTCCCCATTCTTCAGAGCATTGTGAATGTAAGCGGCTTTCCATTTGGCGTATTTCCGTTGTTGGAAGTTCTCCTCCGTCAGTTCCCCAAACGTGGTGAGCACGTCGTACAACACTCCGGACGTGTAGAATTGTTTGACCACGTTCTTGTTGAAGACGCTGGCTCGGTCTTGTGTGTCGGCAGACGAGAAGAGAGTCCAGGCGGCGTTTTCAACGTGCGCCTGGGCAACGACCTCGTTCGAAATGGCCTCGTCTCCCTTCATGACCTTCTTCGCCATTTCCAGCCAGTCCATGAGCGGCAGGAGAATGGCGCGGGCCTCTGGGGAAGTTCGGTCCAGTTTCAGCGCCGCTTGCGCCGAATAAAATCGACCTGTAACAGAGAGGCGGGTTGCGTTGATTAGTTTGATCAACTGCACTATTTACAAACTGTACACTTGCACCCTGTCGCAGGATTAATCCGAAAATCCTCATCTTTAATACAAAACAAAAATTAAATTTCAAACGCTTCCAATGTCAAGTGCAACTCTCCAGGTTCAAATTAAGAAATCCATAGGGTGCGCTACTAATAAATTTGCGTCAGTAACATGCAGACATGTACTGTATAAGAAAAGTAATCCTCATTTGAGTCCATGAAAAATGTCAATACTGTACATACAGCAAGACTGAACTAAATAAGAAATTGAATATGAAGAGCCATATTTACTAAAGTACAGTACAGTACCAAACACACCTTTTTCCTGAAAAATTGGGCTCAAAATTAGGGCGCAAATGATACCATTACTCCCCGAAAAATTGGCTCAAGAATTAAAATTTTCCCCAAATGACACTTCTATACTCACACCAGTAACTGACGACCGGATCTCGAACATCGTATTCTGTTGCTGCCTTCAGTGAGTGTAAAATAGGTTTCAACGACAGCGGGGTCGGTGGAAGTTTCGGCGGCGGA